ACGATACCAAGAAGCATGCTTCTGTACACCCCCCGTTTTCATCTCACCCCATTCATCCCTTTCGCTTATAGTAGTGGCTCCATATTTTTTGCTTCACCTAAAAATTTTCTCCCTCTACAAAAAAAAAATCCCAAACCCAGCACCCGAACTCTAATAAAACGAATTATGGCTGATTTCTTGGCTTTAACTTTTCTTTTCTTATGCTAAGCGAAAGTCTCAAGTCTCCTCTTCATCCTGAGCCATCGTTTCCTCAAGTCCCTCCTTTTACAGAAGACTATGGATTTGATAAAGAAAAAGGGTCACCTTCTCTCCGAAGGGAACGATTCTATCCTTTTTCATTCCTGGATGTAGAATTGTTTTGGACGAACTTTTCTCATTTATTCCTATATCTCAATTTGCAAGACGCAGCCGGCATGCGGTTGCGTGGGTGGCGTTCCGTCATTACGGCTAGCTATCCTAATCCCCAAGTGCATTTTTTTTTTATCGAGAAATCGATTACCCGGCGTGAGCATTGGCCGATTTTGTGTTTTTGCTGGAGCTAAGATTTTTGTTTCTTAATCATTTTTTTTTTCTAGCGAGATCTGTCAAACTCGTGGCCTAAGCAATTTATCCATGAGCCGGCCATCGTTGGACCGTTCGATTTATAGTGGGGTTCAAGCGGAGAAAGTTTTTATGCACGCCGTCATTTTTTTCTGTCGTTTTCAGCACTTTGATAAGAGATTTTTGCAGCCAGTAGTGGATAGTTGGTGAGGAGGGGCTGCAAAGTTTCATTACTTTAATAGTTGTCAGCCATTTTATTTTCAAGCGATGGAAAGTTTTAATCTTTGACTAATGATCTCTTATTCGTTGGATACGGATTGCATGGAATTCCCTTGATGAATGAACTGAAAATCAAATCGATTTATTGCACAAAACAGCATCGTCACAGACCAATTTCTAAAATGTACAATACTTATCGGATACTTTAAAGTAGTTTCAATCTACACACTAAGAATAATTCACAGATGTTTGTGAAATTTTACCGAAATAGTTGTCAGCCATTTTATTTTCAAGCGATGGAAAGTTTTAATCTTTGACTAATGATCTCTTATTCGTTGGATACGGATTGCATGGAATTCCCTTGATGAATGAACTGAAAATCAAATCGATTTATTGCACAAAACAGCATCGTCACAGACCAATTTCTAAAATGTACAATACTTATCGGATACTTTAAAGTAGTTTCAATCTACACACTAAGAATAATTCACAGATGTTTGTGAAATTTTACCGAAATATCAACAGCTGAACGTTTGGCAAACAGTTAGGTAATTTCACGGTGACAGATTTCACCGAACGAAGGTAATCTGTTGAGATTTGCGTAAAATTTCACAGAAATCTGTAAAACATTCTTAGTGTGTTCGATTTCTTTAGCAGAAGGCTGATACGCAATAGCGCCGGGAATTTGATCGATTAAATTGACGTAAGAAGCAAAGAAACATTGGTGAACGCGCATCAGAAAATGGATGTAGCAGAACCTAAAGCCAATCTCTCAGATCACCGAGATCTCGATCTGTCAACTTACAGAAGCTCATAACAATACCTCATTTGTACAGTACATGAGGGGTGAATCCCACGGCCCACTAGGGGAAAATTATGTCGGGTCCTGTCTGTTTGCAGAATTGATTGTATTTCTTGCAGAAAACCTTAACGTATAGTAATGTAACGTAACGTAAATTAAAAAAAAAACAGTAAGAGCCATTTGCAGGTAGTGTTATTTTGATGAAGACACCCTTTAATCACTGGGCAGATAATACAATCCAAAAGATTACAACCATTAGTTTCAGCGTTGTGTTGATATCAGTGTATTTATTATCAGCAACCTCGAATCGTAAGCAGATTGCCTAAGCTATGGTTTACTTGCATGATGCAGTGATAGCTTTTCAAACGCTATCTTTCACGGCTTTCTCAGAAAACTGGGCCAATTTGGTTTATCAAATACAGTGTGACTTACATTGATTCTATACGCATAAAAAAATCGTTCTTTCAATATAGTCAAGTGTCCCTCACTTGATATTCAAGGGATCAACCAATGATCGGGTGTATTGAGTAATTGAAGTACGTCTGAAAAACTAGGGCAAAAAAAAAACGTGTGGAAACAGAATTGAGTGTGACGACAAATGATGTCCATTGCTATTATTTACCATCAATGATAATTGCACAATTTAGTGACAAATTTCAGCTTTTCAAACTTGCACATCAAATGTAAGTGTGTATTTCTCACATTCTCCGTATTTTTACATCCATTTCGGATGCTGTAATTTTTTTTTTTCAAAATGGCGTATTTGAATTTTTTTAATAAATTGAAGCACGATAACGTCTGATCGAAATGACGTCTGATACTAGTGGGTCAGGAATACATTTATTACGCTCTGGGATTGCATCCAATTAAGTTGCCGTCTTTAGCAAAGTATCTTCCCGAAAAAAAAATTATAATAAAATAACAAAATTACAATATTATTTTCTGTTGAATTTCGAGAACATTAAATTTTTTTTGTAAAATTGTTGTACGAGAGAAAAAAAAATTCCGTTTTTAACGATACAATGCTCAAACAATGAAAATCAATGCGATGAGATTAAATTTGTTCTAGAAAAATCAGTGTTTTTAAGATGCTTAACAGCCCCCTTTTTCACTGTTAATTTATCAGAAACCATTATTTTCATTGTTGTGAACCATGAATTTCATTCTGATTTTATGGCAATCAACAAAAAGCTCAAGGATTTGAGAATAAATGACATGGTTAGATTGACAATCAAAATCATTGTATTTTAATAGATTACGGGTTGGCTTTATAAGTTTTATAGAAGGGTAGAGCGCTACTTCGTCGTAATCGACCATTTCTGTTCTAAAGAACAGAAAACGTCAGTATAATCAATAATTTCACCGTACACAAATCAGTAATACGTTTGTACCGATGCGTTAGTTCACAAGCTACACTAGAGCGTATTGTGTGAATATTTACACTCATTGTTCTCAAAACAAAAGAAGCGCTCCTAGCGAACTCGCTTTTTCTACCTTCATCCGTAGGACGAAGTAATACTAAACATATAGTCAAAGTAGTTTAAGTACTTATGTAGGTTCCAGTGCTCAAGCAGGTAGGTAATCAAATTTTTAAATTCAAACGAAAACAGTCCCATAAAAGGGTATCCTGTAAATTAGCGCTTAACGCTATCATAACATTTGAATAACCAATTAAATAGAACAAAGATGAAGAGCCAAAGGCAAACCAACTTAAATGTTAAACCAAATGTTGAAACATAATATTTGCCAACGGTGCCGGTGGTGTAGTGGTAAGCATGATTGCGTCTCACCGCAGCAGGCCTGGGCTCAATCCCAGTAGGCGCCGCCGGGATGTTCTGAGGCATAACATCTCTGATCACGTCTTCCTTCGGTAGGGAAGTGAAGCCGTTGGTCCCCGATTCATGAGCTGATGGGTCGATAGATAGGGTCCAGGTGTGGGAGCTGCCTTCCTGGCACGTCGGTAGCATTGGTGCTCAGCACGGAAAACAAGATCGACGGAAAAAACAAACCAAAGAAAAAAAAATATATTTGCCGTCTTCGGCGTGTGCCCTGAGACCAACACACGCAAGCTACCCTAATGCCGTTAGAATCAGTTGAAAGAGACGAGATAATCAAACGCAGATTTCGTCAAGTTGCATATGTTACGGTTTAGGAACACTAAATTTAACATGAAATGCTTGTTAACCTTCCACGATTTATATCAAACATAAAATTACGTCACATTAAAAAAAAAACTATTTTGTGAACGTTTATTTTAATGTTCAACTGTCTAAGGCATTGGCACCCGTGGTGTAGTGGTAAGCATGATTGCGTCTCACCGCAGCAGGCCTGGGCTCAATCCCAGTAGGCGCCGCCGGGATGTTCTGAGGCATAACATCTCTGATCACGTCTTCCTTCGGTAGGGAAGTGAAGCCGTTGGTCCCCGATTCATGAGCTGATGGGTCGATAGGTAGGGTCCAGGCGTCGGTAGCATTAGTGCTCAGCACGGAAAACAAGATCGACAGAAAACAAATCAAGGAAAGAAAAAAAAATGTGCATGAACTGACATTACGCTGCTTTAACTAAATTTGTTTATTTTTGTGGCCATAAAAATTACTTGAGATTTTCGACATGATTGAAGTGCATCCTCTCGGGTGTATTTTTTTTTGCTGTGTTTGAACCAAAACCACCCTCAAACCGGCTCCACGGGGGTGACCGTTTTTAGGAAAATTATCTCGAGACTTTTCCAATGTGATAATCCCGAATAAGTGCGATTGGTTTTCCTGAGCCCACGTTATTGGCTATCAATTGACCTTGTAAACCGACCTTTTTCCCATACCTTCAAGTCCTATCATACTGGCACTGATGAGCAAAGTAAGGCCAAATAGAAATAGGATAGTGAGACTGCAATAAACGATACATCTATCGCGCATGGCACAATCGAAATTCTATCGCACATTACATTCTGCCCTGTTCATGGTTATACTATGTATGAGCTGGATCTCCAGCTCTTTCGAAGCTATTGGCGGAGGATTCACCTATTCCGATCACCGCTGATGACGGATCCTGGATAGTGGCGATGATTTCGATAGGACTGACCCTGGGACCGTTTGTAGCCGCGAAGGCAGCCGATGGGATCGGTAGAAAGCGCACCCTGCTGTGTGCTGCCATTCCCGTAACGACAGGATGGCTACTGATGGCGTTTGGCAACTCGGTTGGATACTTGTACTTGGCACGATTTTTGTTTGGATTATCTTCCGGGATGGTATTTTCAGTGAAACCTTTGTATCTTAGCGAAAGCTGCTCGCAAAATATCCGTGGTTCAGCAGTGGTGTTATGCGATGTATGTGGCAAGCTGGCAGTCATCGTGATGTACGGGATTGGCCCGCACGTTGAATTCAGAACTCTTGCTTGGATTGGCATGATTGGTTCGATCGTATTTGTACTTTCTTTCGTGTGGATGCCCGAGTCTCCACATTTTCTGCTGAGTAAAGGAAAATTCAAGGAAGCTGAGAGTAGTTTAGCGTGGCTTCGCCGTTCCAGCAATGTGACCAAGGAACTCGAAGCGATGAAAGAATTTGTGCAACGTTCCAAACATGAAAGCGGTTCATTCTGGCGAATGTTCGCTCCTGCTTATCGCAAAAATATACGCATCGTGTGGATTCTACTGTTTGGCATGAGCTTTACTGGTGTGTTCATGATCATGGCATATGCTCAAACGATCTTCATACAAATATCAAGTGACATTAAGCCCTCAGCGATGTCGCTGATCTTCGGAATCATCCAAACATTGTCTTCAGCACTCGCAGCATTGACCATCGATCGAGTGGGACGGCGACCACTGTTGCTCTTTTCGACAGGCGGAACCACGCTGGGACTTTTGGTTATATGTGTGTATTTTACAATTTCCACCGAAAACGATGCACCATTCTTGGGCTGGATGGCATTCATCGCAATGTTGTTGGTTGTGGTATCCTTCGGTATGGGTTTGCTCGTTATTCCTCCCATTTATGATGCTGAAGTACTTCCGATACCAATTCGAGCATATACCAACGCTACCAGTACCAGTATCTTTGGTTTGGCATATTTCATGAATATGAAACTGTTTCAAATCTTAACGGACAACGTTGGTGCTTACGTTCCTTTCGCGGGATACACCGTAGCTGGGTTGATTACAGGTGTATTGATCTACATTTACGTGCCAGAGACGAAGGGAAGGTCTTTGGAAGAAATTGAGCACATGATTGCAAAGGGGCAGGTGAAGACGGTGAAACGTGCGAGTGTTGTGGAACTGTTCAATGGTTGATTTAAAATTTGATAATTTTGTATGTGATAAGTTTCGAGAGGTTTTGTAGCAAGAAATAATTAATAACATTCGAATCTTTGATAGTTTGAAAGAATTGACCTTCACTAAAACGTTTGATAGGGATATACAATCAGCATCAGAATCAACTTTTACTGCTTTTTTATAACATGAGATACCTGAAATGTACTACATTGTAAATGCGGTGTGTTTATAAATAACTGATAACAACAGAACTGATAGCTGATAACATAATTTCCCTTGGACATATTTCATAATGTAAAGCTTACGCATTGTCGTTATCTATCCGGTTTGAAGCAGATTGTAGCGTTTAGCCATAGTCATACTTAAATGTCAAGTCTGCCGTGAATTATCATTATTCTTATCTCGGCGCAAGCATGAGCGAAGAGAGGAGCGAATCCAAAATGATGTTTTTAACAACATGTATGCATGTAAGTAGCCACTATCCTAGCTTGGGTCTTGCCCTGCATGTGGCTCCACTCAATAGCAAGATCAAATTTCGTCATCATTCTGAATTCAACATACTGCTGTATGATGGGCCAAAAGGGGTTGGACGGGCCTGTAAGCAGAGATACTTAAATAACTTGAAATTTGCAATACATGTTAAGCTTTCCACGGGATGGTTTGTTTGAGAAGAGCGCATCAAATTAATTGCAACTGTTGGATTCAAATGGAACTATCTAGACTCCGGCTGGCACTCCACTCCATTGTTCAGCTGCAACTTCAATGATACTCTGATGCTCCTTACCGTCCCAGTATTTGTTTTTATATTTGTACAGAATAAATGTATGCATGATCATGTTATATTTAATGTGGATGAAATGTATAGGGGAATGCAAATTATTAGAAATGAATATTTCAATATTACAAAATGCAATAACCAAAAATATTTAACTTGATTGGAAAAAGGGAAAAATAGCATGTATGAAAATAGGTTTAAAACATTGAAAATATATAAATAAATGATATAGGGGAATTTACGTATTCTCGGCAACCTAAGCAGCGACCTTCTTTCTATAGCCTTTTTCTCTAAGGAACGCACATATATTTGGTTTTTTTACAATCTTTTGCTGCCAACTGCTCTAACAAGTTCAGTCGAAAGAATTGTCAAAAACTGTTTTGAAACGCTTTTACGAAGCTCCAATCTTCTCTAGTGAGAACGAGTATTGTCGGCAACCAGTTTTTCTTCGGCAACCGTTCCATTTGAACTGCATGTAAATCTGCTGTTCTATTATCGGCAACTCGAAATCAGCTACAATTTGTAGTGCGTGTGTTGCATTTCAAGAAAACCTTGCTAGATTGCTTTTTATCAGTGGTAAAAATATAGTCAAATTGAAGCTGAAAGCATAAAGAATCGTTTGCATGCATTCAGTGAAAATAGTGTTTCAATTTGTGTTGCCGAAAAAAGTCTGTCATGCCGAAGCCGTCATTTCCCCTATGAAAAATTTTGTCTTTTTTTCTCTCACATATTATCAAATTTTGCATCAGTAGTAGACAACAGAATAAGGGAATGATTTTTTTTTGACAAGGTCTACATGTCCAAATAGTTTTATTGAACTCTGAGAGGGTGCTGCCAATTCCAAATACGATTTGGCGAGAAATGCATCATGTGCCCTTTTCATATGAAATTCTCGATTAAAGGGTGATACGGTCAAAACTTGGTCAATATCAACTTGACGTATTTCTTTCAATTTTGCATTTAAAAAACCTGAACACCCCTCATTTTGAAGGTGTGTGTGTGTAGAATGTTGTTCCTATTTTGATTTTGGAATTCACTCTTCAGTTGTCAAAATGCCGTCCAAGCAAGAAGAGCAGCGTATCAAAATTTTGCTCGCGCATCGCGAAAATCCGAGCTACTCGCACGCAAAGTTGGCAAAATCGCTAAAAGTTGCCAAATCAACCGTTACAAATGTAATTAAAGTGTTTGGGGAACGTTTGTCGACAGCCAGGAAGTCTGGATCGGGAGGAAATCGAAAACCGGAAGCCGCTGAGACGACAAAGAGAGTTGCCGGTAGTTTCAAGCGAAACCCTAACCTCTCTCTCCGAGATGCCGCAAATAAGCTGGGTGTATCGTCTACAACCGTGCATCGAGCCAAAAAACGAGCCGGACTATCGACTTACAAGAAGGTAGTGACTCCAAATCGCGATGATAAACAAAATACGACGGCCAAAGCGTGATCCCGGAGGCTGTACACGACGATGCTGACGAAGTTTGACTGCGTGGTAATGGACGACGAAACCTACGTCAAAGCCGACTACAAGCAGCTTCCGGGACAGGAGTTTTATACGGCAAAAGGAAGGGGAAAGGTAGCAGATGTTTTCAAGCACATGAAACTGTCAAAGTTCGCAAAGAAATATCTGGTTTGGCAAGCCATCTGTACCAGTGGCTTGAAAAGCAGCATTTTCATAGCTTCCGGGACTGTCAACCAAGAAATTTACGTGAAAGAGTGTTTGAATAAACGTCTGCTGCCTTTCCTGAAGAAACACGGTTGTTCCGTACTGTTTTGGCCGGATTTGGCATCTTACCATTACGGTAAAAAGGCCATGGAGTGGTACGCCGCCAACAACGTGCAGGTGGTTCCCAAGGACAAGAACCCTCCCAGCACGCCAGAGCTCCGCCCAATTGAGAAATACTGGGCTATTGTCAAGCGGAACCTAAAGAAGACCAAAAAAACTGCTAAGGGCGAGCAGCAGTTCAAGGCAAACTGGCTTTCTGCGGCGAAGAAGGTGGACAAGGTGGCTGTACAAAATCTGATGGCAGGGGTCAAGCGTAAGGCCCAGCAATTTGGATTTGGAAAAGCGGAAGCCTAACTGAATATTTTTCCTGAATTTTATACTAATTGAACTTGAAAAAGAAATTTAATTTGATTTTTTAAATAAACGATTTCACCGATTTACACGCGTTTTCCCTTGACCAAATTTTGACCGTATCACCCTGTAATCAAAGTGAACTTAAGTGCTGATTAGACAAAATTGAATCGTAAATTGAGCTTCATTGGATTCTGAGATGATTTTGAGCTTCACTGGTTTAGTTTTGTGTGAAAATGGCAAATAAAAAAAAAAAATCAGTTCAGACATGAAAAAGTTTTTGTAAGAAAAACTTTTTTTCCTTAAAAGTGCCCATCTCGTGATGTATGAACGGTTGATAGTTAACATAATTACATATCTTGAGGCAAAGTTTCATCCAAATCAAACATGGCCATTTTTTTTTTAAATAGACTTTAAATTTTTTTAATCGATTTTTTTAAGTGTAGGTCTCAAATTAAATTTTTTCCAGTATTTTTTTTTCGATAACTTGGACAATTTCCTAAAAGTCATCCATACAACACATTTTTGTAGGAGTCGTCATTTTTTCATAATATTTTTTTGAATAAAATCGGCAGAAAAAGTTTGGCCCTTCTCAAATGTTAGTCTAGATAAATTTTGGAAAAACTAAGTATGCAAAGTGGCATATTTAGTCAAGGTCTACACATCCAGAAAGTTTCATTGAAATCTGAGTGGGTGCTGCCAGCTCCGAATACAATTTGGCGCGAAATGCGTCCATATCAAAAACTTGAAAAGGAGGATATTTCATTTGAGGATTGGAGACTAAGGAGGACAATGATTCCTTTTCTTAACATTAAATGAGGGCAATGAGTTTTTATCAAACGTTTTAATAATATGTGCGCTATCACTAAATTCATGATTTGCTAAGGTTCTATTGAGATTGTTCATAACTTGTAGTCGTTACCAATTCAATTCATCTTCTCGTTATACTTCTGAAAAATGCATCAAACCAGCCTTCACAATTCATTTTTGATATGGGAAATGTCGGCTTCGGCAATACTTTGAGGGTAAAGAAAGTCCTAGAGCACTCAAATTTGGCCAATAGATGCTCTGAAACACAATGTATTCACATGCCAAATTTTTTTTTTTTTTTTTCCTTTGGTTTGTTTTTTCCGTCGATCTTGTTTTCCGTGCTGAGCACCAATGCTACCGACGTGCCAGGAAGGCAGCTCCCACACCTGGACCCTACCTATCGACCCATCAACTCATGAACCGGGGACCAACGGCTTTACTTCCCATCCGAAGGAAGGCGTGATCAGAGATGTTATGCCTCAGAACATCCCGGCGGCGCCAACTGGGATTGAACCCAGGCCTGCTGGGTGAGAGGTAATCACGCTTACCACTACACCACCGGCGCCGTTTACATGCCAAAATTGAGCTCTCAATGACGTTGTTTACCTCCTGACGATAATAGAATAAGGTATTGCCGAAGCCGTCATTTAACCTACTTGCAAATGATCTAGTCTAACTGATTTGCATGAAAACTACAGCATTACAGCCTTAAAACCATCCCAACTTTCATCATGTATAAAAATCAGGATACATGTCATCACTGATTCAAAAACCAACATGGAACATCTAAGCAACCTGTTAATTTTATCATTGATTCAGCTTAGGACTCTAAGGCCGCTACCATAGTGGGAGCGAAGAGGCGCGCTTAGAGTTCCATACAAAAGAATTCCTATTATTGATATTATTCCTTACATTCGATTTTACGCTTCGCGTGCCTCTTTGGTTTCAGTATGGCAGCGACCTAAACAAAATACCTAACATCCCATAGAACCAGAACGTGAAAATCGAACATATGTTAGATTCAATCTGTGTGGCTGTGTTCCATTTGGTGAATTTTTACTTGAATTTGACAGAGAGGAAATTTCCAAATAAACCTGCTATTTTTGACTTAGGACTACGTCTTTAATTTGTATACTGCGGGTCACTTAAAAAAAAAATCAAAATTCAGAACTGTAACGAAAAATCTCATACACGGACGCAACGATAGAGCGCAAATCGAACAAACGACACATTGCGGATGCTCACATGAGCGAGCTCAATGCTTTGTTGATCGCTCACCATTTAACCAATGAAAGGAAGGGAGGAGAAAAGCAACGATAATAAAAAAAAATAAAAACAGTCCGCATCGTGCTCTCTTGCCGTGC